TAAATGCCATAGGGTTGCCGACAGGAATTCCCATTGAATTTCAAGCAAGAGATGAGGTAATAGCTGGTGTAGAGTCAATTCTTCCCTGGATAATAAATAAGAATGTGAAATAGATCAACTATGTTTATTTTAATCAGCAAAGAATCTTAAATTACACAGCAAATAACCTCAACCTCCTCGGCGAGCAGCTTCATGCCACAGCCACAATGACTTTGCAGCACGGCCAGGCTTTGGACTGGCTGTTGGCCGAGAGGGGTGGGCTCTGTAAGTTTCTAAGCTCAAATGGGCAAGAATGTTGCACTAACATTCCGAGTATTACGGCTCCTGATGGTGCATTTACTGAAGGTATGAGCAAGTTGAAATATTTAAAGATAGAGCTGAAGGAGAATGCAGGCAGGGAAAGCTGGTCCTTAGATGTCTTAGCCCTCAAATTGAATAAGTGGGGAGCTGTTGTATGGAGTATAATCAGACTTTTAATGTATGGAATTAAGTCTGGATTACGTCTCTCATTATGTGAAATCAATTCTAGGCTCTACGAGGTGTATCTGTGTGTGTGTGAAACCAAGTTAAGGCCTGTTACCTTCTCTTATCATGTTTGTGTGTGTGTGTCCATGGCAGCCTTCTAGCCCCCTGAACTGTGATGTCGTAAATTAGTGATGTGCCTTCACTCTGCTGATATGGTCAAACGATTCATGTTGTGGATATAACTTGTTTTGACCTGAACAGATGTTGGGAGTAAGCATGTATGTTATCGTTTATCCTCTGTGGAGTTGGTCAAGATGCTATAAACATATAAATAAAACATCGTGTCCAGCTAATGCTGGAGATGACCATTTGATCCTGGGCAGAAGAAAAGGGAGGGGTAACCGCACGTCTCCCTCTGCTGACCAATGGCTACGAAAGGAGGTGATGTAATCCCAAAGGAGAAGAAAGGAGGCCTGCAGGAGGTGCTGAGAAGAAGAAACAAGTGAACGGATAAAGACTGGGAGAGGAAAAGGTGACATCATGACATCCAAGATTTATGGTCTCTTCGGGGCCGTTGGAAAAGTAACAAGAAGAAGAGGAACACGTGACCTGGAAGTCTGAAGTCTGAAGCAGGAAACAAAGAAATGACTGTGAGGGAGGGGACGGAGTGAATAAAAGGAAGATATTGGGTCTGTTTAAGAGAAGAGCTTGATGGGATGAGTGAGAGTCAGTCAGTCATGGACTGAGCTTTTTGGAGAAAGGCTTTTGAGAGTTTTTAGGAGAGTAGGCCTTTGATGGGAAGAGTTTGTGAGGTAGAGAGATGGAAAGAAGGAGGCTTTTGCTTTGAGCTTTTTGTCTGTGATAATCTGACCTAGTGTCATTTTTGGAGAGCTTATTCAGCTCAACTTTGCTATAACTTGGTTTATTGGCAAAGAGTAGTTTCACTTTTTAACCCGCTTTGTCGGGGTTTTGTTTGGATTATTATTCTTTTTTATTCTGTGTGAAATAAAACCTAGTTCCTCAGATTTGTAGAACGCAAAAAGGATTTACAAGTGGGGTCTCCTCCTGTCGGTAACCAAGCAAAGGTGAGATGCTGGTTGTAAATGCCATCCCTTTGTGTAATTGAAAAAGTGTTTCCTCCATCCTAGGCTACAGGTAAAGTCAGTTGTCTCCTCAGCATAAAAGTAACAGCTGGCAAGGGTCTTAACTAGAAGTGTACATAAGCTTCATGGACTGAGGGTGTGTGTAAGTGTGTTTGCACCTCCTCTTTGTCTGCTTGAACTAATTTTGGTCAGAATTAGAAGCTCTGGGATTGTGGTGATTGCTGATCAACTTTCTACAGAGTAAGAGGGTTTGTTGGTAGCTGGCATTGTCATGCTCACTACATCGATTACAAGTCAAACCCTGAGATATTAGTAAAATCTAGAAGAGTGGAGCTAGCCCAGTAAATTGGCTTGTAACAGGAGCTATCTTGGTAAAGGCAGGAATTAGTGCAATAGTAGTACTAATTCTGATTTCTCTATTGGCATGTTGCATCCTACCTGTTGTGAGGAAACTGTGGGAGCGAAATCTGGCTGCCCAAATGAACCTTGCTGCTTCGTCTCAATACGTGCAAATGGAAATGGCTGCAGTGGACTCAGCACGATTCCCAAAGTGTCTGGAGAACGAGATGGCTGATGAGTAATCTTTGCGTCTCGTAAGGAATGTTGTTGATATTGTTACATGTACTCAACTAAGGAATTGGCCTCAAAGTCCTCTTCCAGCGACAAGACCCATACAGCAGTCATCAGTAAAACTGAACTTGATTCTTGTGTTTTACTTAACTCCATTTTTTCAGCTCTGCAACTGGGACTCTGACTCCATTCTTTATTTTGGTTGAGCAGTTGTGTTATTACATCAAGTATACTCATCACACTCACTGTTATGTTTTCTGTAGGTTCAGCCACACCCACATCGCTTAGTCGTATCCACGTCAATCGTTTCTTTCATAAAATTTTACATTTTTAACCGCATATTCACATGCAGTTACTGGTTGAAATGTTGCTAAGAGTAATCATACTCAATTATACTCATGATTTTTATTCTCTGTTGAAAGGTTTAATCGGTTCATTTTCTCTTATGTGTGCTCTTTTGTTGATTCAATGTTGCCTAATGTCTACCATATGCTTAGGCTAGATTTGTATGCTCACTCTGTGCTTTATGTGATCATCCTGTTTGGGCCAGGAGGTCAAGAAAGAATTTTTCCTGTTAAGAGCAGCGGACAGTTTTTGACTTCTTACAGTGTGTGCGTACATTTTGATGTATTAATGGGTTGGTTAAAGACGTCACAATCCAAGTTGTGTCTTACAGCTGATACTTCATGTCTATGTACTCATCAAGTGTTGACCTGCAGTTACTTAATCATTACATATTATGTTGTGTTTTTGCTTTTAGTTACAGGTCGCATTGTGTTTGTCATTTATTCATTTAACATTCATTTAATGGTTTATGTCAACAATCATTTAGTAGGGATGAGCTGGATACTTGTTTCAGACGAGTATCCGGTATGGATAAAGCATTTTTGATGAGTACGAGCATGAAAGGAGGAAAACCCGTAAATATCTGTAATCGTGCTGAAGGAAAATCCTCATTGTGTAACTGACTGTCTTCACGCTCTGTGATTGGCCAATCACATAGAGCGCCCGCCCCTTCCTACACACACAACTCAGCAGCCGGGAGCTCACAGCTCAGTCCGCGTCCAGTTCATCCACGCACACACACAGACAGCAATGGATCTCTCTGCTTGCTTCACTGTTAATGTTTCTTCAGTACTCCCTATGTTTTCTTCAGTTTGCTACTTTTTAAAGTTACTTTAAAGTTATTTAAAGTTACTTTTTTCATAACATACGTGGTGCATTTGACAAGAAAGAGCTGAAAACGGCTCGTGCTGTGTCAGTCACTGCCGCTCGCCGGTCGGGTTTTTTTTTCCTCCCTCTCTCTTCTCTTCCTCAGGATCCACTCCCTCTTTCTTATTCACTCTCTCTCTCTCTCTCTCTCTTTCTTTACATTTTTTAATCAGAATAGTCTATTTTTTGCTCATTTAAAATATATTTTAATCATTTTCTAAATTCTTTTTTCTATTTTACATGTTTTGTTTTTGTGAAGCGCCCCGTGATTTTTATCTTGAGAGGTGCTATAGAAAAGATCTTTTCTTCTCTCTCGCTCTTAATTCATGCATTTAAATATTAATGTTCTGACTTTATTGAAAAACTTGTTCTGTAATAGTTCCTTTACTATTGTGATCAAAAACATTTAATCTCAACTCTGAGTCTGATCAGACTTAAAATAACATATTGATGTAAACCACACCCACTTCCAGTTAAACTACACCAACTTCCGGGTTAGGCCACGCTCACTCCGAGTACAGATACAGATACAGATAATTTAGATGGTTGAACAGATACAGATACAGTTACAGATAGTGGTGTACTCACTCATCCCTATTATTTAGCCAGATTGTTGTTGGGGGTTGTCACCCCCATGGGGGGGATTGTAGGAGCCAAGAGCTGTGTTTGTGTGCGTGATGTTTAATATCCTGTTTTCAGTCAAGTTTGCATAATTTCCAGTAAGACTAACATTTATCTGAATGTTTATCGGGAAGTCAAGAGCAGCAGATGGTTCCTGTTTTGTTGCATGGGTTGCTGGGAAAGATTCCCCAAACAGTTTCCAATTCATGTGTATGTGAGACCCATTTCCTAAGCTATGCAGGAGTGACATCAGTAAAAAGTATAACTGGGGTCGCATTTTCGGTGTAAGCAGGCTTTTTCTGAGATGCAGCCGGAGGCCCTTTGCATTCTGGCTGAACGCTGTCCCAAGTTAATGGTGATGTATTACTGAACTGTACAAATAAAAATAAAAAAACACTCTGTAAAGACAAAGTTGTCTCATTCTCTTGCGTTTTGATAAGGAAAAGAACCATGAAATGAGCTGTCGCCATCTTGTTCCTCTATGTTGCATCATCCCACCCACCAGACGAAGAGAGGGCCCTGACTGGCCCAAAAAGCGGATAAAGCACTGTGACTAGTTCACAAAGCAGATAGCACGCTGCGATTGGCCCACCATTATGGACCAATCACGAAAAACCTGGTTGACCCTACCAGATGCATAAAGCTTCAGACAACTTAGCTCTTACGATCATTGGGACACTCAAACCCCTCCACCACAATAAGGTGGCAAACCATGTTGATATCTTTTATGATTTTTGAGAAATCACAGTTTAGGTTTTGGGTACACCTCACCAGGGAGAAATCAAGGAGTCTTCCTAAGCAGATGCCTGAGCCACCTCAACTGGCTCCTCTTGATGTGGAGGAGCAACGGATCTACTTTCAGCCCCTCATTTCATTCTTTTGGACACTACACAAAATTTGTGACCATAGGTGAGGGTAGGAATGTAGACTGATGAATCAAGAGCTTCACCTTCCAGCTCAGCTCTCATTTCACCATGACAGACCAGTACAACGCCTGCATCACTGCAGACATAGCATCAATCCCCCGACTGATCACACGCTCCACCTCCTCCTCACTCGTGAACAAGACCCTAAGATACTTAAATGTCTTCACTTGGGGCAGGACCTCATTGCTGACCCAGAGAAGGCATTCTACCCTTTCCGTCTCAAGTCCATGGTCTCGGATTTAGAGGAGCTGATGATCATCCCAACTGCTTCACACTGAGCAGCGAACCACCCCAGTAAAAGCCGGAGATCACTTTCTGATGAAGCCAACAGGACCACATCATCTGCAAAATGCAGAGACCTTATTCTCAGGACACCAAACCAATCTCCTCACCACACTGGCTATGCCAATGAATAAACACAATCAGTGACAAAAGCGGAGTCCAACTCTCACCAGGAACAAGCTCAACTTACTGCCATCAATGTCGACCAAGCTCAGTCATACAGGGGCCTAACAACCTGTATCAGAGGGCCTGGTACCCCATACCCCCAAAGTCTCCCCAACAGGCCACCCCCCAAGAGATGTGGTCAAATGCCTCCTTCCAGTCCACAAAACACATGTAGATTGGTTTTAGGTAAACACCAATGCACCCTCCAGGCCTGCCTGAATAAGGGTAAAGGACTGGTCCATAAATCCAGGGCCAGAACAAAAACCACATTGCTGGAGGTTCCACAATCCGATGGCCCCTCCTCCCCAGAACCCCTGAGCAGGCCTTTCCAGGAAGGCACAGGAGTGTGTAACTCACCATGAACAATAAAAATGTTATTTTCATGCCAGTTATTAACCTTAGCTTAAGACATTTCTATTTCATTGAACCCTTTGAATTTTCAGCCAACTGGCATGTACATAAAAGTGTTTATTTTTACCTTGAGAGCAATGAGGTCCTCCCCATCCTTCACAGCATGCCCGTACTGTCCTGTTAACCATCTGGCTCTCCGTTTCTGGAGGTCTGAATGTCACGAGAAAATAAAACAATTTGATCAGAATTAAAAGAAATCTGCTGTCAAATGGGTTTTGCCATTAAGATACATATTATATTATATCAGGCTGTAGAAGTAGTTTACTTTATTAGGAATACACAAATTGCAGACATCTCTCGTGCACTTCAGTCTTTGAGCATGGGGAGGGGGGATGTTGCTGCAGCCTGTATAGTGGCCATTCTGGAATTTTTTTTTAAATTATTTATTTATTTATGTTACTGTGTCCTGTCTGGCTGTGAAGCAAACAGAATTAATGTCTGAATGCTGGTGACAAGCCTTAGAGATTTACTCTCATGTGGAGCATCAAAGCTTCTGCTTTTAATGTCACGCCTGATACTTAAACCTTTATTGTTATAGTTTTTTGAATGCTTGTAATTCCAACCAGACACAGAAACAGGGGTGAAAGAGAAAAACGATCAGTGACGAACAAGAGTCTGCTTCTAGACCTGCAGAAGGAGAGAGAAAAGAAAAAGAAAAGGGACACTCAGCAATACAACAGGAGCATGCTATCACTGCATCAACCTGATGAGGAAATATAAAATCAACATTGTTTTACTGAACAATCACGATAATAAATCAGTGCATTAAATGCCAAGCACAGCCTTAAGACATGTGTTGAACGTGCCCAAGTCCAATCAATCAAAGCTTTATTTATAAAGCACCTTCCGTGACCCAGTCAGGAACCTGGCTGTGCTGTTCTGCACAACCTGTAGGCGACGCAGTGATGTAGACGGTTGCAGTAATCAAGTCTAGAAATTACAAAAGCATGGAGTACCCGCTCCAGATGGGCTCTTGACAGCATAGGCTTGATTTTTGAAAGGCATCTCAGGTGAAAGAAACTGGACCGGATCACAGAGTTGATGTGAGCATCAAATTTAAGTCCAGCATCAATTTTCACCCCCAGACTGGGGACAACTGGTTTTGAGTTGGGAGAAAGAGGGCCAAGATCAACATAACGACCCACAGCACTGCTATTGGGGTGAAAAACAATGAGCTTTGTCTTTCCCTCATTCAGATGCAGAAAGTTGGCCATTAACCAAGACTTTACCTCATTAAGACAGGACACAAAGGACTGGATTGAGTGACCTTTCTCCTGACACAATGGAGAGTAAATCTGGCAATCGTCAGCGTAGAGATGGAACGATAGGCCATGTTTACGAAAGATTGACCCCAGAGGAAGCAGATAAATTGCAAACAAAAGAGGACCAAGGATCGATCCCTGCGGGACCCCCCAGCGGAGCCCCTCCCAAGAAGAAAAAACATCACCCAGTTTAACACAGAATGTCCTGTTGTGGAGATACGAACTAAACCAATCCAGAGCAGACCCTTTGATCCCAACCCATCGTTCCAAGTAGAATCGCGTAGTCAACTGTGTCAAAGGCTGCTGTCAGATCTAACAACAGAAGCACCACAGATGTACCCTGATCTAGTGATAGATAGATATAATTTAAGACCCTCAGTAGAGCTGACTCTGTGCTATGGCCAGACCTGAACCCTGATTGGAAAACCTCAAACAGATCAGAGTCAGCTAAATGTGAGACCAGATGCTGATAAACGACTTTCTCAAGCAGTTTTGATGTAAAAGGCAGGGTAGAGATAGGCCTGTAATTTTCGATCACAGAGACATCAGCACCAGGTTTCTTCAGGGTCGGCCGAACAACTGCTGCTTTCAAAGCAGCTGGGACCACACCTGTGCTGAGGCTCCCATTGATAATCTGACCAAGTGAAGGGCCAAGACACGGAAAGGCAGCCTTCCAGAGACGAGGCGGCAGAACGTCAAGTGGAGAGCCAGATGGCTTCTGCCTTGCAACAAGCTTACTCAGTTCAGAATAAGAAACAGTATTGAGGGAGCTCAGGGTGGGTGGTGATGGAGGAACTGGAACAGGGTCAATAGAGTTACCAGAAATAGCTGCTCTAATGCCCGATAACTTTATGAACAAAGAATTTGTGAAAATCTTCAGAGTTTCCAGCAGCTGTAGGAGACATGAAGCTAGGCTCCTGATACTCCAGAACAGAGTTCAGTGTTTTGTAGAGAATCTTGGGATTCTTGGAGTTTGTTTCGATGATGTATGCAAAATAGGCCGTTCTGGCAGCCCTCACAGCATCCTGATAAGCAACCAGTGATGCTCTGAACAACTCACGCGAGACCTGTAGGCCATCCTTTTTCCACTTTCTCTCAGAGGCTCTACACGCCCGCCTACAAGCCCATGTGACATCAGATAGCAAAGGCTCCCTCCTAGGCCTAGACTTGCAAAGCTTGAGAGGGGCAACCACGTCCAGGACCTGATTACAAAGTGCATCAAAGTGTTGTGAATAGTGATCAATGTTAGATGGATCTGGGTTAAAGGTCTCTAACCTTACAGACATACAGTCCACAAACTCTGAAATAGTTTCTGCATCCAGGGCTCTGAACCTAGTAGCGGGAGCTTCACACACAGGGACAGGACATGGCAACGTAACATCACAGAGTATAGGAGAGTGGTCAGAGAACACAGGAGGCAAAGTCACAAGTTTCATGTCAGGGAGACCAAAAGAGAGAACCAGGTCCAGGGTGTGACCCCTGGCATGAGTTGGGGACGATACCCATTGAGTCAAATTGAATGAATATAGCAAATTCAAAAAGCCTTTAGCAAGCACATTGTCAGGACAGCAGATATGGATGTTAAAATCACCAAAAAATAGGACATAGTCATATTTTAGGATGCAGTCTGCCACGAGATCACAGAAATCATTAAGGAAGTTAGAGTCAGTCTTTGGAGGGCGATAAATAGCACAACGAGCAGGCGGGGGGAGATTCACAGTTCAAATAAGCACAGTTCAAAGGAAGAAAATGACATGGTGGGTGTGAGCTGTTTACAAGGAAAGCTGGATTTAAAAACAACAACCAGCCCTCCACCTCTGCCCCGTGATCTGGGGATATTAAAACAGGAGCAGCCAGGTGGTACCAGCTCCAGCAGGGCGCTTGAGTCACCAAACGAGATCCAGGACTCACAGATGCACAGAAAACTCAAGTCATGCTGAATAAAAAAGTCACAAAGAATAAAAGTTTAGTTCAGCACAGACCTGGCATTGACCAGACCAAACCGGGGCTGCGGCGGGGCTGCGGCACCGAGATCGCGCACGGGCCCAGTCCCCTCTAACTCTGTGCCCGTAACCAAGCGCAGATTCTCTCAGCAAACACCAGTCTGGCGAGGTCTTCGAGCCGATTGGCCGTGGCGCGGTGCCAGTTCACCCTCAGAGCCGGCCAAGTTCCCTAGGCAGGGCGCCGAGTAATCCATAAGACATCTCGGAGCCACCGGGTCAGAAGCTGTGCCGAATCGGACCAGCCGCTTCTTCAGGGATCCAGCCCGACGTCTCACGCGCCGGCTACCTCTCTTTCCCCATCTTCTCCGATGCTTCCTTCTCGAGCTGGGGCGGACAGAGGGCCGACACATCACGGCTTGTGGGGAGAGAGCACACGGGCAGTCCAACCAGCAGCACCATATGTGAGGTTCCCAGCGCGCACAACCCGCTACATCAACGGGAGGACGAAGCCTCAGCAGCGCAGCTCGATCGTATGTCACCAGAGAATCCACACCATACAAAAAAGTCATCAGAGACAACAAAAATGTATGAAAGCCAATAAAACGCCAATAAAAGCCAGTAAAAAGCAAGGTACCACTACATAAAGAGGACAAGCAGCTAGCATGCACCCGCGCTAGCGCCATCTCACTCTGGGTCACCGTAGAGGTGAAAGGGTTAGCTTTAGCTGATGTAATGAGTGCTGTAACATCCGTTCTGGTCGCCATATCCCAGAGAAAGAACAAATGTGACCGACTAGGCTTCAGAAGCTACAACTGACTGATGACACATTGTTCTGCTTTAACGCTAGCACAGAAAGACCGGAGTTGGGGTTGTTTACTACGCCCGTTTCAGCAGAGCTTCTTGTGAATCGTCACCAGCTGCCCAGGGCTTAGACAAGAAGCTAGTTTCTGTTTTTCCCTTTGAATGGCATATGTAAAGAAGTATTACAACCTCAGATGAAAAAAGTTTTTGGATTTTCACGGCTGGAATTTTAAGAAAATCTGATGTTTGTGACTGGCGGGGAGTTTTGCCTCTGGCCGATATCTTTAACAGTGCAGCTGGATCTGCTGCAGGAGGATCCTGATGTGGATGAAGGACCGGAACAGACCTGTGGCTGGACATTTTTGGTCAGAGGGTAGTAATGTGTTGTGTACATTTAACCAGTTCATTCTGTAGCTTAAAACATACATGAAACAGTCTAAGTTAACATGTAAGTCCTGAAAGCTTCTAGAATAAATTAGCTTTACCTGAAAACGGATGTGAACAAACACTGTTGATGGACGTGAAGCTGCTGTAGCTCCTAAATATCCCTGCTCAATTTTCGCTAGCTTTAGCATTTTTCCTTTGCGTGTAGCTGCCGCCACGACCGTAATGGGACCTACGGGTCACCGTAGAGGTGAAAGCTAGACTGTCTGAATTCAGAGCCGCTGGGTTCCGGTTTTAGAGTTCGAACAAGGACCCGACCTTGCGGGACCTGTAAGGACCCGTCCTCACAAGCAACCTGCCCCTGGATTCAGAAACACCCTACGTCATATTTCATTATTCATGGTCTCAGTTGATATCACTTTGAATCAGCCTTTATAATCAGTTGTCTTGCATCATCATTAGTTGTGGAAATATAGTAATAATTGATGTTTATAAAGTATATTTTTGTCTCTGTGTCAAAGTATTATAAAGTGTTGTTTCTCTGGCCAACCCAAAGTAATTATTTATATCATCAGTCAAATATTAAAGGCTCCATAACATTGATAATCCATACCTTTATGGAAATTAACATTTTCTCGAATATTTTTACATTCTCTTGGCCATGTATTAAACGTAACCACCTACAAAACGTTACACAAGCTGATAAGTTGTCATCCATCATGGAGACATACGAGTAAGCTAATGCATGTGCTGAAATATTTACTTACTTGTACAAGAGACAGCTAGCCTGCATCCCCCGTTGTCTGTAATATAGGGCGATGCCATCATCGCCCCCGTGCATGGAGCGCATCCTGTCCATGTCCAGCCTCCACCCCTGGGTGGTGTACTGATACATAGCAGAGCAGCCCACTTCCAGCTGTAAACGGGGAGCCAGGACCCGGTCCACTTTCTCCTCAACCACATGATCACACCAGCGTCTGAAACATTATAGCAGGGCTGTTCAAGTTCAGACCTCGAGGGCCGGTGTCCAGCACGTTTCAGTTTCAACCCTGCTCCAACACACCTGACTTCAATCAGCAGGTGATTAACAGACTTCTGCAGAGCCTGATGAGCTGCTGCACAGGTGACTCAACCACTGAATCCAGTGTGTTGGACCAAAGAAACGACCAAAACTTGCTGGATACTGGCACTCGAGGCCCGAACTTGAATGGCCCTGCATTACAGCATGCTTCATCTTAATGTCCATCTGCTGTGAAGAACTTTCTGCTCAATTTCTCTGAAAATGTGTCTGAATAATCAACTAACTGTGAAGTAAATGATCATTTGTTTCACTCATTCACCCTGAACCGTTAAACCTGCAACATATATTTTAGTCCTAATGGAAGACGCACTGAGGCTAACTAAATACAAATAACGTGGAAAAGCAGATCACATGGGATTTTAATTTTAATCTGTTGGGGAACATGCTTATGACTCTGAGTCCCAGTAAAATATCTCGGTAACCTAAATCAGTATTTAGTTGTTTCTAACAGACTGTAAGAACTGCAGGGACTTTCTACCATCTGATGCTCACTCCTGACATGTTATGGATTAGAAACCCAGGATAGCGCTGCATGAGAGCATCTCTCGGGTCACCGAGAGTGGGGAGGACACCCAGATAGCAAGCTTACATTGAAACAATACTGATTTTCCATCTGAATCATCAGAATGATTGACATTGAAACCTTAATGCAAACTAGATATTGAATGAATGTCGCAAAACCGATGAATCCTGACAGAAAAGGCATATTGAAATAATTTCTCTCAAGTGAAATATAAGTGAAAAGGCATGGATCTGAAGTTGTGTTGGCATTTCAATGTTTTAATATTTCGGTTAATTGAAATACAATCGTAAAGGTCTATAGTTGATGAATCAATATTGTTTCAATATTAAATTTAGACGTTGATTCAGTGTTTTAACATTGACAATACCATGTGGTATCTATATTGTTTGCTATCTGGGAGGGGAGGCAGGTGGGAAACAGGATTATTACGCTTGGACCTTGGACATTACGCTGCAGGATCAGCAGCAAACTTCTGCTGGTGGGAGCAGTACCTACTCTGCTGAGTGTGTGGAAAAGTCCGGCTGCTTGTGGAAGGCTAGCCAACAAACACCAGACCACAGTCTGCATTTGAACAGTATACACCTGAGTGGTGATGCTTGTTTTTCTCTCTTTCCACAAGGCTGTTGCTAGCTGCTGAAGCTAACAGCTAGCTAGTGCTAACAGTGACTATGCACTACTGCAGCGGGCGTTTGCACATTGCTGACGTTGAAGTGTGTAGTCACAGCCCGGCTCAGATAGAGTTTATCTTTTCTAATTCACATGGAGAGTCGGTCACGCGGCTTCTTTTGACCACCCAAGATGTCTTTATTCCACAAGGAACACCTTCTACTGTCTCTTTAATACAGACATTTGAATCATATGTCTGATACATAGGGCTATATACATTGGGCTGCATGGTGGCGCAGTGGTTAGCACTGTTGCCTCGCAGCACGAAGGTTGCAGGTTCGAAACTCAGCTGCGGCCTTTCTGCTTGGAGTTGCGTGTTCTCCCCATGCATGCGTGGGTTTCCTCCGGGTACTCCGGTTTCCCCCACAGATCACAACATGCCCTATAGGTTATAAATCGTAAGTCGCTTTGGATAAAAGCGTCTGCCAAATAAATAAACATAAACATTTGGGTTTCTGTCCCAGTTAAAAGGGCGTGGCTCAGTTTGGATTGTTAGCAGTGTGGAATTAGCATCTAAACGTGTGGGTGCTTAACAGTAAAACCTGAGGTGATTTCTGGATTTAAATCACTTGGATGGGCTCCAAAGGGGTTTGAATGAAGGCCCCTAGAACTCTTTGGTTTCTTGAAGACGTTTTGCATCTCTTCTGAGGAGTTTTGTGAGATGACAGCAAACCTGCAGCACGTGAATGTGACACAGCTTCAAATATCTTGTTGTTGTAAGGGAAAGAACTAATGAGACCGTACTTCCTCGTTTCAACCAAAATGAACATCCAGCCAATTAGGGGGTGGGATAGTTTGCCCGGCAATAATTTGTTTTTCTTAAAATGACAAAGCCCTGAAATGACTCATTCTGGAAGGTATTGAAACTGAAAGTAACTGCTGAGATAGCTTTATGTCAGAGGGATTTAGCGCATAAAATATACAAAAATGTTATGACTTAATAATAAATGATTGTAGGTCACCTTTAATAAAAGGTGATGAAAGACACATCACATCTGGCTTCACAGAGGGATCTAACGATCACCAATTATGTGTCATGAGGATTATTTATTGTCCTTCTGAAGAAAGACACTGCTGCAGGTGTTTTCACCACGTTAAACAGCTGGTTGTAATAATGTGTTGGTTAGGGTTAGGGTGAACCCTTGTTGGAGTAACAGGAAGGGTCCTACTCACCCCGCTCCCACCACTGTCTGAACACCTAGAAGAATCACCAGTGTCACGTCCATGTTGGTGTGGACTCTGTAAAAAAAATAGCATGCAAGGTGTTTGTTTTTCTTTTTGAACTTCAAATTCTTATATTCTTAACTTTGTTGGCTTCACATCTTCTCTTAGCTCACAAGTGAACTGCTTCACCGGCAGCCAGATCAAAGTCCCTTTTGCATGTTTATGTCGGGTTAGTACTAAGCTGATTATCAGTACTCTTACTGGTTTGATCACAAACTCAGTTTAAGGATCCCTTGAGTTTTTATTCTATCATTCTACAAAAAAGCATGCACTCACCTTTGAATTGTTCTGGGAAGATATCAGAATGTTCATGAAAGTCCTTATTTTGGTCCTTCTGGTTCTCTTTGTTCTTTGCTGTTGCTTAGGTCTTCTCAGCTCTAAGTATTGAAGTGAGAGTCATGCTGATGGAGATGTGGGGGTTTAACTTCTAGGGGTGACTCATTGGATATGCATTGGCATTTGAGGCTGCAGCTGTGTAACAGCTGGGTGGACAGGCATTGGTCACTGAGCCCTTTACCAAAAACAATTAGAGGACACTTGAACTGGTTTGGTGGAAAACCCTGAGCTTGTTCCGCAAAGTCCTTACGGGAAAGTTGATGAGGACACGTATTCAATGAAGCTTGTTAGCAGACATGAAGACTGGAAGCTTCTGGAGTCACTATTATCCTAATATGACCTCTGACATGAAAGGGAGGAGGCTCAAATACAGCTGTTGCCACAGGGACACAGAATTGCTGTCTCAAGTGTTTCTATGGTTACATTGTGATTTCTTCAGAATCAGCTTTATTGTCAGTGCCCCACAATAAGCATTTCTAATAGTATTCTTGGACAGAATTTTATATGAATTAGAAAATAATGAACCTGCGATTTGCTCTTTATCATTGTCACAAGAGCGATTTGTTTATTTATTTGCATGAGTGCGTTTGGGTGCAGCTGCGTAGACTAAACGTTATGCACAGAGGTCATGAATGAGGTTAAGTGTTCTATGAAGAAAAGATTCCCATCAGCGCATCTGATCATCATCTCAAACGAGCACGTTCTCAGCATCTCACTGTTGACAGTCTGCACAACTGGACAGCACGCTGAGGAGGGGCTGGGAGCACATCTGTGGCAGACCTGTGCACAAGAGTGCACTGTTGAGATCCGAAAAGAAGAAACCCCTTTCTTCAGAGAGCTTTGCCAAACACTGGTTTGTTCCCTGATTTTATAACTTTGGTTGAAGTAGCCCTTGTTTTTCCAGCCGCCTCTAGAACAATATAAAAACCGCCACGATTGAGCCTCATAACTTTTCTGCAAGCTTCTTAGACATTTGATTACAGACGAACAAGCAGGTGACCAGGTCAGGCTTACGTTGTTTACTTGTTACAGGGTCACACTGGTCAGCTTTTTGGGATTAAATATTATTAGAAAATTATTAAATGTTTATTTATCATTATTTTAACAGTAAAAGTGACAGAAGGGGGATGTCCGGGTTGGTTGGCTGGAGTTTTTGACAATTAAAAGTTGCGCTCAGTCAACACACATTTCTTTTAACAATGGTACTTTTTGCATCTTTACTGTTCCCCTGCTTCAGCCCTCTTCCCCATCCCACAGCACAGCAACCGCAAACTCACCAGTGTACCTGCAGCCTCACAGAGTTCCTGCTGCTCTAGACAATGAAAGAATATTTTCATTTTCTGTTCCTCACTTCTGATCACCTTCAATGGTGTCTGTTTGCTATGAAGCCAGAACAGTCTCAATAAGAATTAAGTCACACCACGTTTTCCACAAATGCACACGCTCATTCTGAAGGTCACACTCTGTGGTTCACAAATATAATTTGTAAGAACACTTGTAATATAAACTCACAGACCACATGACTTGCTGAGTGTGCATTTACGAACAGCTTCTCATTTGTGAACCTTCCTGCATTAGTGAGAGAAATCGGTGTGCTGAATTTTGAGACTCTCCTAACGTCACAGGTCAACAAACATCACCATTGGCTAATGAATCTGTCAATCAAATATATGATTCTGCCAGGGCTGTTTGCTTTCAGCCAATCATATGGCTCCTTACGTTACGGAACAGATCTGCTGTGCGCATGCGCATTGCAGTTCACACGGCAGAGCGGGTTGGACCGGTCACAACCTGTGATTAACAGTTTTACCTTATTCCCTCATTCTATTTTGTATAGCTCCACCCATTAAGCCATCGCTCATTGGATTAATTCCATTCCCTTAACCAATCGTTGAAGAGCTTTTGTGTACGCCTACCTTCTTGGTGGGTCTGACCCCATAAAAAGGGGGCAGCGAGCACCGCTCGTTTCCTTTTTTCATCTTCAAACTTCGTTTGAATGAGCTATTTGTCTTCTACCACTGTTCAACTGTGCCCCGCGTAATCCACAAGCTACATCTCTCCGGACGACCTCCATCACAGATGTTTCGCCTGCCTCGGAGCTAAACACGTGGGTCTAGCTTTGACACCACAGTCCAACTGTGCATTCTGTGCACTCCTCTCTCCGGAGGAGAAGGCTCGTCACGTGGAGTTTTTCTCGGCGGACGCCGAGTTTTCCACTGCGGCTAGGGATATTTCCCCAGAACCAGCACTGGAAATTCTCGCCCCTGGGTTCGGGTTGGACGACTCAGACCTGTCTGGGCCCTTCAACGATGAACTCTCTAGCCTAGTCTCTTCTCTCCTTGTAGCCATCGAGTCTAGAACCCAGCCTGCGCTCGGACGAGCTGCGAGCCATGGTATCCAGCCCTCCTTGACCACCCCTTTTCCAGCCATACATAGCCTCTGCCGCTAAGAACAAGGGGTTAGAGGTTCCCGCGCCTGCCCCGCCGAAGTTGGACGAGTTCACGGGGCGGTTTGGTGCTTCTCACACTCAGTGCCCTGATCCAGTGTTCCCACAATTTCCCATGGCCATGGCCTACTGGACCAGCTCCTACGCTGACCCGTCTAAACTGAAGGCTCCTGTGTCCACCTATGTGTACCATGTACCAAGGTGAAGGGCTTCTCGGAGCACGGTTTTCCTTCTGTGCCGCCGCTGGAACCGGATCTCGCTTCAATGCTGGGACACAGAGCCAGGTCTGTGGGCAACAGCATTCTGCCTGCGTCCAAGTCTGACCAGGCAACTGCCTGGTTCACGGAACGCATGCACACCTGGGCAGCTAAGTCAGCAGCAGCAGTGAACAACATAGCGCTCCTGGCTTCCAACATCTCCAAAGCAGCAGAGGATTCCGAACTCCCAGACGGAACCAAGGACCTCATCTGCAAATCTGCTGACGCTATTCTGGACCTGCCTTCTGCTTCCCTGGTCTGTGCTTCTCGGATCTCAGCCTGGCAGGTAATGATTCAGTGGAACATGTGGCTGAACTCCCTAGCTTCTGTCCCTGAGCAGATCCAGAAGGACATGCTGGAGGGCCCGATTAGCACGGACGAGCTCGTCGGACCTCAATTCCGCAGAACCATTGATAGAGCTCAGAGAACAGTCAAGCTCTCCGCTACAGTCCGGGATCTGGTGCAGCCGGGTCTCAGCCGCCACACCGCAAGCAGACCCAGAACCTGGGAGGATCGCCGTGCTCAATAGAGCCACAAGTGATGGGCTCCGGGCCCGGCCCTTCTCCCACCCACATCCTGCTGCTGCTCCTCCTGTTCAGCCGGCCCCACGGCCACAGGCTCCTCCACAACGACGCAGGAGAAGCAGACTGTTGGCACAGACCTGGCAAGGTTCGTTCCAGGACCAGCTCTCAAAGAGGCAGAGGCAATGACTTTTTGGCGGAGATGTGTTTTAATGTTCATGCTTCTGAGAGTTCCACATTAAAATTGTGTAAAATTCAACATGGCATGGTTTTTGAACATGAGCTGTCCACACACGTTTCCCAAACCTAATGCACCCATTTATAATGAACACTTAGCCAAGGTTCACAATGGGTTAGCTTCCAATGCTAAATGTCTCACTACTACTTCTCACAGCGCATTAAGGAGGAACACGCTTCCTTTGCATAACCGCTACACTCCTACCTACATGGCACCTCTCTGGGGTCTTTGTGACATTAAATGGAAACACCCCGCTGCGGCGAGCAATGTTGGCATGCACGATGAGGCTGCCCTTCATGCTCCTTTGCCGCCAAAGAGGTCCGCCATGTTTCCTCATTTGCCGCCGGCGCGCATGCAGGGTTCCTTGAGGCACATGCGCACTCTCAGCCCGGAACTGGCTTTTGGCATGATCACTTTGCCCTTTCGCGAACAGCCATCCATGAGTCACTCCCCAGTTCGGGAGGACGTAATGATGGCGGTAGGGGCTCCGCACTGGACCACGGCTGTGCGTCAGACTCAGCCGCTGCACACGTGCCCCCTCTCGTGTTACGCTCATGAATGGACTAGTTCTTACTGCATGAGCGCGTGGATGCACGACACCGTGCATCATGGTCACAAGCTCCAGTTTCAGTCTCGGCCTCCCCCGTTCGTGGTGATCGTGGAGACCAAACTGACGTCACTGAATTGAATCTTAGCTCTCAGATCGGAACTGTTGGAGCTCCTGGAGAAGTAGGCCATCTCCGCAGTTCCAGAGGGCGAGAAAAAGTCAGGGTTCTACTTTTGCTACTTCCTGGTTCCAAAGAAAACGGGAAGGGTTTGACCCATTCTTGACCTGTCACTTCTCAACTGCTTTATAGTAGTGAAACGCTTTCGCATGCTAACCATCAGACAGGTTCTGAGTTATGTGCGTCCAGGCGACTGGTTCAACTGCATCGACCTGATGGACGCCTATTTTCACATCCCAGTGGTCGAGAAACACAGGAAATTCCTGCGTTTATCATTCGACGGAGTTCAGTACCAGTACAACAGACTTCCTTTTGGATATTCTCTCGCCCCGCGCACTTTCACCGAAGTGCTGCAGGTGGTGCCACAACCCTTATGCTCGACAGGCATAGGATCCTCTTTTATTTAGACAATTTTCTGCTGCTGAGCCGTTCCGAGTCAGAAGCGGACTCACAGACGCAGATATTGGTATGTCATCTGT